CATGTGAGTGGGGGCGTCCTATGCAATGAGTATTGTAGAAGATCAGACCATGAAGAAAATCACTCTCACTTTATAATGTCATTTACTGTTGAGTCTGATTTTTTCACTCGATGACCTAGGTAACTCGACCTTAATCCTGAGCTAACTATGAACTCTTGTTTATTCAGAATTATCCTTAGATTTGCATGGGTGAGAGTAGCCCGAGTTCGCCAACTCAATAAGCCTCCCATTTCAAGGGTAAAACTGGGTGAATAGCTGGAGACATAGGGTGCAAGATAGAATTCACTCCTACCCGCTTTTAGGGATAGTAGAGGGGTTGTTCCCTTAAGTACTGACTCCAGGTCTTGAACAAGGGGCCTCACCCTCTCATTGGCTCGAGAGGGATTCGGTTTGGTGGTTGGACCACAAACTAATTGTTCATTAGAGGATCATGGGACTTAAGGAACAAAAAGTAACTTTAGGGGTAAAAACGGTAAATTGACCCAGCTCTAGTTACGAACAACCTGTGAAGGATCGACTTACTAATCATGGTTATATCAAATTGACAGAAATATATCTATAGTGAGGGGAGTGCAACTACTAGGCTACAGTAGAATGTCCTAGTAGTTAACGAATGTTGGTTAAAAGGTTAATGAGTTTAGCCGGTTAATCTTGGACGTTGGAGTCCATAATCTATAGGTCCATTAGGTCCCCCTACTAACTCATATCGGACTAAACCTTAGAATAGTGTGACGAGTGAGTTTGAAGTGTTCGAACTCAAATTAGGGAATGTGTGCTAAATATATTTGATATATTTAACCACATTTTGATTAATTGCTAATTAAACAAAATGAGAGAATTGAAGATATTTAAATAAGATTTAAATATTTTAATTATGAATAGAGATTCAAAATCAACATGTGTCTTGATTGCTATTGACATTTGATTTAATGTTAAATATTAATTAAATTGTTTAATTAATCCTTTAATATTATTTCGATTTGAAATTAATTATTTAAATTAATTGTTGAATTAAAATAGAAAAAGTCAAAATGTCAGCAGAAAAATCCATGTGTTGAGTTAGTGGAATATTGAGGGTCAATATATGGTTTTACAAATTTGCATGTTTGCCAATAATCCCATAAATTTGAGTGGAATTTTGAGTATCAAAATTTGATTTAACCAAACTTGCATGTTGCCAAATAAACCCCACAAAGTTGAATGGAATTTTGAGTGTCAAAATTTGGTTAATTCAAACTTGCATGTTTGCCACATAATCCCACAAATTTGAGTGGAACCTTGAATGTCAAAATTTGGTACTCTCAAGTTTGCATAAACATGCAAATATCACTCTACAAATAGAGTGATCAAGGTACATAGAAAGTCTTCCTGAAAAAACTTTGAGAAATTCTCTCAAAACTCTCTCTTTACCTATACTAAATTCCTTTCAAATTTAGTCACTCACTGGATTCCACAATCCCGTTCTAAGGTCGGAGAATAGTAGGGAAGACACTAGTGGTGGTTTGAAACCGGTTCGTGAGGAAAAGGCGATTTAAACTACAAAAGATTAGTATTCAAACTCATTGAGTTTTAATGCTTTTGAACATGCTAGCTAATTTATTGTAATTGATGTACTTTAATGTAATTGATGTACTTAGAGTGCCTAAGATCCTAATTGATTCCGCATGTGTTATATTAACTAGTTGCTCCCCTTGTTCTTTATCTAGACCCTTTACTTTCTCCAACTCTTCCTCTAACTTAGCTAGTTGCTCCCCTTGTTCTTTCAACAATTTTTCCATTTCAGTTCTGGCTTTAGGGGAAGGAAGGACTATGGCCTATTAAATTAAAAAGGTTGTCCTATGTCGGGAGAGTCTAAAGCATATTGGTCACAATCATCAAAGACCTGAACCAGAGGTGCTTGAGGTGCAGTAGAAGGAGCTGACTTATTGATGGCCGGATTCAAGCTTTCCTTTTGGGTCAACAGAGCCTTGAGAATGTCGAAAGTGGTTGGTTTAGGAAAAATCGGGATTTTGGGTTCATCTGACATAGTAGCTACAATGGGAGATTCAGAATTCGGGGATCTAACTTCTTCTACACGAACCAGTCGATGAGATGGGCGGACCCAGAACGGTTCAAGGGGAACTTTCTTGCGAGATGGAATGATGTTAAAAAAGAAAATCACCTATCTCATAGTCTTGCTTAGTGCTCAGGTGTATCCTACTGGGTGTTTAGCAGTTCTATGGCCACTACATGATTGAATTTAAGCTAACATAGGACAAGTTAAGGTTTCCGCTGCAATGAGGGCTAAAAAATATACCTCCCAACCCTTCATCCCTAGGACGTAGGACTGGTCAAATGTTACTATGCACTCCCACTTTGGTATACCCTCCTAAGAGGAGTACTATGCACTCCCAGTTGATGGTGGTGGGTTTTTGGGATGGTATGACTCGGCTCCCTAGCCTGTAGCAACCAATACTTCCCACCAGGTTTTCCTATTTCGAGACTATATCCAAGATGCAAATGTTGGTCAATCATTTGCTTCATTGGTTCCAACGGTGGCAGCTGCGAAATCTACTATTGGGTTAGCCATTTTTATTATGACTTTCGGAGCCTGAGGGACTAATTTTGTAGAATTTATTTATAGCATTCAAGGTTAAAGATGACTCCTAGAGAATTACCAAAATACGAAGTTCTCTTCTACTTTCATTCTCTTCTTTCTTTTTTATTTGGACTTGGTTGACAGGGTCGGGGCCTCTCTCGCTAGGGAGCGCATCTGATTTGAAAGTCCTTTCCTAAACATCTTCCCGTTCAGTTGCTGAAAGATAGAGAGAAGCTTGATAAATGAGATAGAGTTCCACGAATATGCAGGCTAGAAGGATGCTATTTGCTGCAATTCTATCTATTTGTGCATTAAGTTTGAAGAAGATCTCAATCTATAGTGAAGAAATTATAGTAGCTCGTTGTTTTATAGGCTTTATTATATTCATACGTCAGAGTTTAGGTAAGACTTTCAAAGCGACTCTCGACGGGAGAATCCAGGCTATTCAGGACGAATCACAGCAATTTCCCAATCCTAACGAAGTAGTTCCTCCGAAATCCGATGAACAACAATGATTACTTAGGATTAGTTTGCGAATTTGTGGCATCGTAGTTGAAACATTACCAATGGCGCGCTATGCGCCTAAGTGCGAAAAGACAATGCAAGCTTTGTTATGCCGAAACCTAAATGTTAAGTTAGCAACACTTCCAAATGCCACTAGTTCCCGTTGCATCCCTCTTCAGAACGATTTAGTCACAGGTTTTCACTTCTCAGTGAGTGAAAGATTTGTTCCTAGGGGTACGTTGAAAGCTTCTATAGTCGAACTCATTCGAGAGGGCTTGGTAGTCTTAAAAATGGTTCGGGTGGAGGGGTTCTCTTAAGAACAAAAAAGACAAATAGAATCTAATTCATGTTCATGCTAACAGAAGAGCGAATCCAATACCAAGACGACTTCTTTCTCAAGAAGTGCAGCAAGTATTTGAGTCATTTTTAGGTATCATATCCTACGAGTGAGTTGCCAAGTGCCCCCTAGCCTAGAAGGGCAGTCTACCACAAGATCGAGTGAAAGCCTGGAGCCAAACCCCCTTTGATGGGGAGCCCCTATTTGTTTGATTTATTCCAAAAAAGTAGCCTTGTGCATATATTATCAGGCACTCAACAAGGTAACCTAACCATCAATCACAAGTATCTACTTTGATCGCAGACTGATTCACCCTAATCAATAAATGCGAGATACTTCGAGAAGTTGGATCTACGGTCGGGAAACTACAAAGTGTGTATCGCAGAAGGAGACGAGCCAAAGACAACCTGTATGACAAGCAAGCAACCTGACTAATAAAGGGTTGATTTGGTTATGCCTTTTGGACTCACCAATGCCCCTGCCACGTTCTGCACCCTCCACAATGAGCTATTCCACCTGTACTTATACAACAGGTGATATACTTTGCTATAGCTATTCATTAAACGACCATGTTAGCCACCTCCAGACTGTAAGGTATTAAGGAAGAATCACTTCTATGTAAAGACGGAGATTTTTTTCTCTTCAACGCCAATCATAAACTTCTCCCAACTCCATTGCAATTGTTTCCTTCTCAAGTTCCTTCCATTTTTGTGCTCAAATTTATTAACAAAATCGAGACCTTAATATTCCTGTTGACATCTGTATTTTATTCTTAGATGGCAACTTGGATATTTCATCGACATGCATGCACCTGTTTTTGTTAAAAAAAATTGGATAATTGATAACTCAAATGTGCAATTGTAACGACCCTAAATTTTCACATACTCAGAATCGCTACTAACGTCTCATGCTCTTCTATAATGCAGGAAATATAACTCTTACATGAACATCATTTATAACGTACACTTCGAAAAACACTTACAACAACTTCTTCTCCGGAAAACACAGCCATGGTCTTACGTGTTTAAATATGAAATACTGAAATTCAGATAAAATAGGAGTGATACAAAATAATTTAAAACAATGAAATGCATAACAACCTATTCTAACCTAAACCTAGAAATTTAAATATGTATCTATCCTATGCACGTGTCACAGTCTCTGCTCATGATGCAACCTTCCTCCGTACAAGTGTGCCTTGCCTTGACCTGAAAAATAATGCGGCAGACGGCCTGAGTATTTCAAAGAATGCTAAGTAAGTGTATAACACCCGAACCCCAACGAGAAACTTAAAACCTAAGTTTTCTCCTTCAAGTTGAACTTATAAGATTTTATTGAGAATCTTAGAGACTAAATTTTGAGATGAGGTAGAAGAGAAAAATGTTTAGAAATATCTTAAGAACTTAAGAAAAATATAAAAAGAAAAATTGTGGAAAATTAGAAAAATGGTCAAAGTCAACCACGGATGGGTAATTTGGTCATTCTGCCATCTTCCTCCTTAAGAACCTGAAAGGAAGGTTTGTAAAAGATGAATAAAAAATAGAAATAAAGAGGGTAAGGAAGGAGAGGAAAGGAAAAGAAAAAGAAAAAGAAAATAGAGAGAGAAAGAAGGTTCTAGAGAGAAGGAGAAGTAACCGCTACTTCCAATCCAACCACGAGGAGTCCAATTCCGGTGAGATTTCTTCACAAAACCTTTACAGAACCTATAGAAAACTTTTTGGTACTTGAATCGTCCAAAAATCGTCAAGGAACGAAGAAAATTCGTAGGTAAGTTCTTGAACCTTTGTTTTCGGATTTTCCTCAGATATGTGAGAAATATTGAGAGTTAGATTCTGAAATTTGAGTACGTTAATCCAGAGAGGATTGCACTCATAATCCATGAAGGAAGTCTTGATCGATTCAAATCGGAAATAGGAGTTCCGATCTTCACCAAAGTGGAGGTAAGTATTGATGTTTCTTGCAAACTTTGGACTAAGTTTATTATCTCTGTGGTTAGAAATCAATTACAAGAAAAAAAACCTGTGTAGATGGATATGAGGTCTACAAATCTCATGAAGGAATCATATTAATCCGAGTTATGTAGAAAGACCTACGAGAATGAGAAGAAAATAGAAAATAATCGATTTTCTAGAAAATCGCAGAGATGAGAGGAAGAAGTCGAACGACAGAGGGCTGCGTGTTGGGCAGCGAGAAGGCCGCGCGTCACCGGAAAGATGGGACACGTGTCCGCCATGTATTGGCAGAGAAATTCAAGGAAATACTTCGCATCGGGCAGGATTCGAAGGCCGGCAGCCCGCTACCCGAGTCCACGACCCCGATAACCCACGCGTGACTCAGATTCTCGACCCAGCTTCTCGTGCCATGCATCAGCATAAGAGATTTTAGATTTCCAGCGCATTCTTTCGGTTTCGAACCAATGACCCCGACCCGACTGACCAACCACGTTGCGCCATGTGGCGACACACCAGCGCCCGAATCCTTCCCCTCAGGCGCGTCCGTACGCACGCGTGGGTGACTCCCTCCGATGCGTGGGCGCATGAGACTCTATTTTTATCCCGATTTGACTTTCGTTCGACTATTTTTCATCCCGGTTTTGATACTAATCCAAGTCTAACTTGATTTAGGACCTATCAGCAAACTTTCAAGAGTTTTAGGCTCTTAATTAGCCAAAAAGTATGCTTCAAAAGGCACGCTTCATTCCTGTAAGTAATCACACGGATTTAGGAAGTAATACTTGTAGGGTGCGCTTGGTTTTGCATGCATGCTAGAGAAAATTATCCCTGGGTGGCTAGATCTAATGATCCTCTGTACTTAGGGAATTAAAAATATATATGTTGAACTTCCTGCCTTGATGAGCTTTCGTACTTGATGTTGGTATGCTTGCTAGTCTATCTTACTACTGCTTTTATCTGTTCATACTATGTTGTCGGACGGGAGAGTTTGTGTATCTGCGCTCCGGGTGTTGATGGATGTTACCACCCCGCTGAGCTTGTACGATTGTATGCATTGTTAATCATACATAAAAGTCCTGTTGAATAATTTGTGTATCTGCGCTCCGGGTATTGATGGATGTTACCGCCCCGTTGAGCTTGTATGATTGTATGCATTGTTAATTATACATGAACTTCCGTTGAATAATTTGTGTATCTGCGCTCCGGGTGTCGATGGATGTTACCACCTCGTTGAGCTTGTATGATTGAATGCATTGTTAATCATACATAAACTCCTGTTGAATGATTGTGTGAACTTATGATATGATTGATAAACTGTAGTGTTGTGCTACGCCTATGGTGAACTCTTGTAGGGATTGAGTTGGGTTTAGTTAGGGGACCCTCCTGAGGTTACAGTCCATGGTGTCATGAGCGACGCTTAGAGGGAGAGACCCTTTAACCCTGGATTATTATGGACTTCAAAGTATTGATTGAGTGAATCTGGAAGCCAGGACCCCTAACTCAATAGTTTTAACTACCCTTGAGATATAGAGAACCACATTTGGACCCCGAGGTGTAGAGAGATGACCTCTTAGCCAACAGTATCTGGTTTAGCGTTCAAGTATGCCCTGCTTCCCTTCCTACTCCAGTGTGGTACTGTTGAGCTACGCGAGACACCAGTTAAGGAGATGTTATCCTCCCTTTCCTACTCTGGTGTGGTACCATTGAGCTAGGCGAGACGCTAGTTAGGGAGATGTTACTCTTCCCTTCCTACTTCGGTGTGGTACCGTTGAGCTGGGCGAGACGCTAATTAGGGAGGTGTTACTCTTTCCTTCCTACTTCGATGTGGTACTGTTGAGCTTGGCGAGACGCCTGTTAGGGAAGTGTTACTCAGTGGTAGTTCGACTACTCTGCATGGGGATCCATCTTATGGTAAGATGTTGATCACGCGAGTGGGTCAAGGTCGCCTGCATGATGGGTCCGTCCTGTGGAAGGACGTTGACCATGTAATGACTAGTTCTAGCAGGGTTGTACAAGGGGTACATAGAGTTATGAGGGAGCACCTCATGCTCAAACGCTGAAATACCGCTTCAAAGGTTAAGTCCTTCCACCCCAATCTGTGTACTGAGAGTATTGAGACTCTAGGGACTAGAGTATAGTTGGTGGTTCTCTCCTAAACTTGGATGCGATTAAAAGCCTACAAGTAGGTTGCTTACTGAGTATATTTTTATGCTCACCTCGTTTTCCCTTCTTTTTTTCAGGTACCGATCGAAGTGGGAAGGTGTTCGAGAGCTGCACTATCCAAGAGGGGTGTCATTCTGGAGCGTCAGTCCTTTGTCGGTCTTATAGAGTCTTTTGTATTTCATTTTATACTTGTAATTCCTTTTTATTAATTTGAAACAAAACTTTTCTCTATTTTTTTTAATTAAATGGTATTTTTACCTTTTACTTTTCTTTTCTTTTCTTTTGTTTGTTTTTTATTTCGTCTTTTTAGTCACGTTGGTTTTTCGAAGCCTCGAAATTCGAGTCGTGACAGATTGGTATCAGAGCAGTCAGGTTTTAGATTCTGTAGACTTTTTCTAGGATAGAGAGTCGTACACCTCTGTGACTCAGCTTGACAACACGCCTCGCTGCGACCAGGTATGTAGTCTAACCCTTTTAGTAGGTTTTGATATGATGTAAAACATAGGAACTTGATGTTTGTCTTGGGTTACATGGTAGCTGTAATTATGCCTTAGGGTGATAAATAATGAATGTTCACTCTATACGTCAATTCTATATTTGAGTTATTGTGAGGAGTCGAGAGGGGTCATGTTATAACTTACTAGCCTTAGGAAGACAGAGAGGTGACGCCGCTGAGTGCGAAACGTCCAAAGATGTACATGAGACTTTTCCAAGGCTTAGCACGAGGTGAATTACCTAGGACCCAGCCTCCTGTAACCATAAGTCTAGATGTCAAGCATGCCTCCGTAGAGGCCACGTAGTAGGCCTAGACAGTATAGAATTGCCTTGGTGCAAACCACATGGTAGACCCAAACAATATCGTTCTTACAAGTAAGGCGGCCACTGTAGGAATTAAGCACCCCTCAAGCGATCCATTTTCACGAGTGAGTTTGGTTAAGTTGAAAGTCGAGAAATAAGATTCACCACCAGAGAGAGTGAAGCTATGGAGGCCATGGCTTCAAGGTTGGTTGGAGTCATCATGAGATAAGATCAGAGTTACCGACTTCCATAAGTGAGATGTGTGCTTTTATGCCACTAAGGAGTCATGGGGTGAAGGAAATTCCTACGGAAGGATCACGTAATGTAACACCCTAAAAATGAAATAAATTAGATCCAACAAGCAGCTCATGTAAGACCCCAATGATCAATAGGGGAGGAATTAAAGGATTAAGCAAGGATGATGATCTCAAGCAAGTTATTCTTATACCCTAACAAGTAATGTTAAGGACTTTAAAGGCTAGGAAAAAGGATGGGAAAGTAAAAGTGAAAAGGGTAAAAAGGGTAAAAAGGTCATTTTTCTAATTATTAAGGATGAATTTTTAGTTTCTTATGTAGAAGGAATTTCAAGATGCTCAAGAAGGGAAGAATGATCAACATGAGAGGGAGGATTTTTAGAAAAATTATGGATTTTTCAGGAAATAATATTAAAATATTCAAAAAGTGGAAAATTATCATAATACCCCTAGAAGAATGGATAATTACGAAAATGTTCCTCTAATCAGAATCAGAGTATCTACAATGACCATCTGAGCAAAATCTCTCGAAACTCAAATATCAGCCATTGGATCTTCCTCAAAATTGGATATGATCTAGAAGATGAACAGATCATCACATCCAACGGCTATTATGCAAAACCATAGTTGGTGAGGCTCTGACCGGAGTAGATATTTCGGCAGATTTTCTAGAAAATCCAACCAAAAATTCACGACGATTCTGGAGCTCCCAATGTCGGTTTAAGTTTCCCCTATAAATTCTAAAGTTGGGGCAATCGTTTGGAACAAGAATCGAGCAAGTTCGAGCTCCCAATCATTGGCAATAAGTGTTTAGATTTTGGGTCTTCTACTCTCGGGTTTCTTCTAAATTCGAGAGCAATTTTCCACCATTTCCTTTCAAACTTGTTCCTATAGCTTCTAAACAAGATTATCCACAAGTTCTATGAAGGAATGGAGAGCTGAAACGTCGTAGAACAAGATACTCAAGAGATCGAAAATCGGAGGTGTCGGATAACTTGCAGACTAAGAGTGATTTCCCCTAGAATCGGCTACCCAATAAGAAATCCTCTATTTTTACTCCGGTGAGAAATCATATTTTGGACGAACTTTGGAAGCAAATATCTTAGGCTACGGTCCATGAAAAGGTACGAAATCAGTCCCTAGCTCTTCCTTTTAACATCTTCTTTAAGTTTCTTGAAGGAATCGAGGGGTGAAACAACGTGATAGGAGATATTTTATTTTTGTCTAACAAATTGAATATTTTGACATGTGAGTATTTTTATATTAAAAAATTCCATATAAAACGATTAGTAAACTTTTTATTAGAGTAATATTACAACAAGCACGTTACAACTCTCACACCAAAGAAAGGATTTGATGTGAAGTAAGACGAATGTGATGGTTTTGTCTAAAGTCCATGGATGAATGAGGTTGTATTCCTGCACTTTCTCTTTCCCTTCCAAGGTCTCAGTTTTTTTTTTTTTCAAGCTTATACTTGACTTTAATTTTGAAATCTATTTTCAATATTTGCATTCTTTTCCAAATGTTGAAAGTAGTAGACTGTGAAATATCATACCTCTTGGACTTCTCCTTCTCCCAAGCTAATTGTCCTTCGATTTTGACAACAAGGTGTAACAATCCATGCATATCAAAGTACGCTTGCCTATCCACTTGATGAGCACGTTGTTGGTTCAACCCGCCAAGGAATCTTGCCATTGTATCCTCCTCGTCTTTATCAATGCATGCTCTATTCATAAGGGTCTCCATTTCTTTATAATATTCTTCAACACTTTTGGATTCTATTGCAAAGTATAGATTTTTTTCTTGAGTACACGAGAATAATGCTTAGGAATTTATCTTTTGTTGAAATTTATGCCCTAAAGCCTCGTAATTAATTATTTAGTTTTTAACAATAATTTTTTTACTTTATTTGTAATTTAATTATTATCCCTGGCATGAAAATCCAAGGTTATTAATGTAATCTTGAATAGTTGACATAGAAGAGGATTGTGTTCAAGTAATAACCTAAAGAGTCTGTAGTATATGGATAAGGTTGGGTGCGTTATCCTGGTAACACTATTGATACGGCTCACTTTGTAATCGTTACAAATGATTTGATCCAAATCGTTCATGTGGAGATATGTAAGTGGGGGTATCCTATACAGTGAGTTTGTATAAAACTGGACCAATAAATATTTAATCTCTTTTTATAAATCTGTTAATTGAGAAGGTTACTATTTCACATGATGATCATATGCGACTCGATCTTAATCTTGAGGGAGTTATGAACTCCTGCCTGTGAGGGCTTGTCCTTTAATTTACGTGAAGGATCGACTTGCTTGTAATGATTATATCAATTGATATAACTTGTCCTACAGTACATAAGAGTGCAACTCTAGGTCTATAGTGGAGTGATCTATAGTTAATGAATGAAAATTGATTAATTAAAGAGTTTATTTAATTAATTTTATATCATTGGAGCTTATAATCTCTAGGTCCATAAGGTCTCTTGCTAGCTCATAGTAACGATAAAATGTTCAATTTATTTGAAAAAAAAAATGTGAAGTGTTCAAATTAATATTTAATATATTAGATATATTATATATAAATGAGAAAATAAATTTAATTTGAAATATCAAATTAAATTTAATATATTAGATATATTAAATAAATAGAGAAAATATATTTAATTTAAAGGATTAAATTAACATTTAATTTATTAGATACGTTAAATATAAATGAGAAGAATATATTAATTTGAAATGTTCAAATTAATATTTAATGTATTAGATATATTAAAAGAAATATATATTTATTGTATTTGATACAATTAAATATTAAATTACATTGCATACAAATATATTTGAAATTTGAATGAGATTCAAATCAGTTATATATATATATTAGGATATCTTATAATATTTAAATATGATTGGTATAAGATATTATATCCTAATATATTAAATATGCAAATATATTATTTGACAAAAATTCAACTAGAGTCCTTATAAATAGGACTCTTCGGTGGAGCCAAGGACATACGAATCTCTCCCATTTTTTTTGGGGAATGAAATTACATCTACGTAGAATTCTCGAAACTCTCGTTCTCCAATCA